CAGTGTACCTACCCAAAAATTGACCATGTTTACTAGATCAGCGGGGACCAGGCCCTATCAGAGAGAGGGCCATTTGGCCCAGGCCTCAAGAGACAAAGTGGCCTCAAATTTTGACATTTTTCTACCAACTCATTTCCATTTATTATGCACCTTGCAGTTATAACAGAGACAACAAAAGAAGCTATATAGACCTGCAAAAAATTGATTTAAATCATTGTGGGACTTCTGGTCTTTGCCAGTTTTTTGGTCACATATGAGTTTTCATCTGTGTGACTGGATTAGCTTCTGTGATTAGTGATTCTATGTTATGAAATGCTGTTTACAGTCGTTGCAAAGGTTAGAGGTTTTGAAAGTCGTAATTAATTCTGTTACTATAAAGTGATTTTGCTTGGTCTGAGGGTGAGTAGTTTAACCTTTAAATTAGATGTTTATCTCTGCATAGGAGATTTTTGTATTCCTGGTTTTTTGTATGTGTCTTTTATATACAATAACCATATCAGGCTCAGCTGTAAGCTACCTCTTTGTACAGTTTTAGATTCACCTTCAAAGGCTTTTTTGTGATGATAAACTTCACATCTAATCCGGCAATCACCCTGTGTTCATATTCATAATAATGCATCAGTTATTAGAGGAATTTAATAATGGGAACATGTTAGTAGATGAAATTTCAAGACTTTGAAATAAGGATATAAGGGTCATAGTAAATAACACCCCCAAACTATTATTATATCATATTCATTGTGAAGTATATACAATTAAAATTTTGTATAACCAATAGCCTTTAGAAAATTAATTTACTGTGTGTTACTGTGTTTTAAAAGACAAAATACTTTCACATGAAATATCAGTATCGCATAAAGATAACTATGTTACATGGATATCAGCTAGTAAAGCAGCACTAGCTGACAGTTCAATTGAAAACTTACTCCTGAGTGAAATAAACACAGAAGCTGCTAAGTGGAAAAAACTCCTTGAGCACATATTGAACGTCATTCTTTTTCTTTCTGAATGGGGATTGGCTTTGTTTGGTTCCAGGAAACAATTGGTGACTCTACAAATAGAAACTTTCTTGGTATCCGTGAGCTTCTTAGCAAGTATGACACAATCAGGCCATTTTAAGTGTGTTTGTGAATCACATGAGAGATCGGAAAATGTGTGTAAGTCTATTATCTGTCTACCAGAATACAAAATGAGTTTATTGAGCTATGTGGGATATTTGGGCAAATAACGGTTCTTGAGGAGATATGACATGTGAAGTGCTTTTCAATTATTATTGATTCAACTCCAGACTGTTCTCATAAAGAAGAGACAACCTTGGTTTTTTGATATGTTAAAATTGCAGGAAGTTCAAAGATTTCAATTGAAGAACAATTAATTTTGTTCGATAAGTTCACACAAAAAAACCAAGAAAAGAAACCGCCACTTGTGTATTAGAAATTCTGGAAGGCTTCAAATTAAATTTTCAAGTCTGTATTGGCCAAGACTATGACAATGGATCCATTACAGCTGGGAAGTGCAATGGAGTACAAGCAGTCCTTCTTGAGCAAAATCCAAACTGTATTTTCTCCGTTATGGCAACCACACACTAAATCTTGTCAGTGTTGACTGCACTGAATCATGCAAGGAAACAATGACATACTTTGGAACAATTGAGTGATTGTACAACCTCTTCAGTAGCAGTCCTCAGAAATGGGAAATTCTGAAGCAGCATCTGCCTGTTCCCCTTCACAGCATGTCAACAACAAGATGGTCAGCATGAATTGATGGCATTAAACCAGTTGCACAGCATTTGGATTCTGTGAGAAATTTTGTGAGCTTGAATCTCTTACTCTCAGGGCACAGGCTTGCACTAAGTTTAAATCAATTCAGAAGTATACATCCAAATTTGAATGCATTTTAATATCGTCCATGTGGATGAAGCTGCTAAAAAAAATCCACAAAACTAATCTTGTAATTGAAGCATGCAATGCTATTATATGTTGAGAGGGATAACGTTGAATGGTTTCTTAAAAATATTCAAAAGATTCATGATCCGTGGAATGCAATCCTTTCTGAGTCCAAATCAGAAGCACAGGATATTGACATTTCATCTGAGTTTTCCACAAGCTAACATCTCAATCGGATGCAGAAAGGCAGTATCGAACCAATGTTGTTGTTTTATTTGTTATTGTTGACTTCATCAAACATGGTCTTATATGTTGATTTGAGTCACTGCAACAAATTTGTACACTTTTTGGATTCCTCTGGGAATTCAGAGAACTAAGTGATGAAGATCTATATTCAGCAGCTGAACAGTTTCAACAAAGGTTCAACAACAAAATTTCAGGAAATCTCTATGACGAGATTGTTTTCCTGAAACGTATACATTCCATCAACTTTAAATCGGACTGCAAGCCAAAAAAACTGCTTCAAGAAATGTTCAATCTTGGCCTGTCAACTGTATTTCCCAATATCACAATTGCACTATATATTTTTGTCAGTCTCCCTGCATCAGTGGCTTCAGGTGAATGCATATTCAATGTGTTAAAACAAGTAAAGAACTATCATCGTTCTACAATGGGACAAGAACATTTGAATGGGCTCTCAATGCTTAACATTAACAGTGATGTTGCACTTAAATTAGATTTTTCTTCAATTATAAACAATTTTGCACACAACAAAACCAGAAAAGTATTCCTAAAATGAAGAGTTTTACTTGCAGTGGAAACTCACAATTAAAGTTACATTTTAAATATATATGCTATTGATATAATGACTTAATTGTTAATAAATAAATGTTTCAAGTGTTCATTTTCATATATTCTTTTGATTTTAGTATGACCCTGTAAATGAGAAGTTAAATACATCTGCTACCTGGGGGTGGAGCCTCTAAACTCAAAGTGGTTTGGGCCGCTGTCATTCTCTGAGAGGGCCTAGCAGACAGTGGTAATGCCTACTGAATGTGGACCTTATGCTTTCCAGCATCTAATGAGCTCTCTTCACACTTGTGTTTTGCCAGACTATGGGTGCTCCTGTGCTTTTATTATATGAAAATGTATCAGAAAAAATACACTTCTCTGAATCCTAGGGATGTTATGGGGTTTAATTAGTGTTTGAAAAGCAGCACCTTCAGATTCTTAGATGGCAGTTGTGTCATAAATGTAAAATATTAACTACCTTAATATTGGGATCACAGTGTTAAGAGTAAACTTCAAATAATAAAGATCACTGTGCATGTAAAGAACAGTTCAGATGCCTGTGCCAATGTAATTGTGGGGCTTATGTCCTGTCTGGTTCTCCAGCACCCAAGGACCTCCCTGTAAATAATTCACCTAGTGTCTAATGTGCCGGAAATCAGACAAAAATATAGGAGGGGCAGCTGTCCTAGCCAAGTTGGGTTGGCAAAAAGCTAAAGGGATCTGTTCTAGTAAAAATTAAAAGGTATTTAATTGTTGTATTTATGTTAGTCCTGATTTCTAAGGTAACTTCTAATATATATTGAGCAATGTTTCTGGTAAGAAGAAAGGGACCATGCCTTTGCTCTGTTATCTCTGTTGCATTGGCAGAAACTCAAGAAAGAAAGAATAGTAAAGGACTGGGATTGCATTAGAAAACATTCTCTCAGGCCAGCTTTCTGGGATTGCTTTGAACTTTTACTCATCATTATTTCATGTGCCGAATTTTCTTTGTGCCTGTGGAAGGAGGATAGGGGGGAGAAAAACACACGAGACTTGCCTTTAGGATTTTTAATCAAAGCTACTGCTCTCCTGATTGCTGCAGTGGATTTTCAAACGCCAAAGCAAGTGGGTAAATTAAAATCCCATGTTCCTGTGGGCTAGGAACAGAGCTGTTTGAAATGTTCTTTAACGAGAAGAGCATGTTCCTATTGTTTTTCTTGCCCGAGCCGAGAAGCTCCAAAGAGATCCTATGTCCGGGAATACCTGGCAAAGGGAAACAGAAGTGAAATTAACTAAGGGGAGGGAGAAAGGGCTGGGCTATAGTTGGTTGCGCTCTCTTACCAAGTTGTTTTGGGTCCTGATCCAAACCCCATCGAAGTCCTTGAGGGGTTTCCATGGGTTTTCAATGGGCAATCAGTCTCTCGGTCGCTAGACTGAGCAAATGAGGGACCAGGAATTCTCACAGGAAAAGGAGGAAAAAAAGCTGCTAGCATCTCGCAGTGCATCTGCTCAGAGCTTGAAACGCACAGTCCGGAAAACAAGAAAGCCAAATTCAGCTTCTCCGACCCATGCTGTGGCAACTTAAATGGCGCTATTCTGGTTGAAAAGGAGATGGGTCTGAATGAGACTTTCAGGGCTGGATCCTGAGACAACACAGTAGCGTTATAATTCATCCCTGTTCTCCCCCCTCCCCATAGTTTAGCGAATTCAAAACAAAATGAGCCGAAGGCCAAATTTCCCTCCAGTTAAATGCAGCCGCTTATTTACTAGGTCAGATTTTCAGCCAAACATTCTGCGCCGATTCTTTGTTGTTGTTATTTGGATTCACTGTTAGCTCAAGAACTGGACAACAACGTACATAATAAAACGCCATCAGGAGAGGGATGGAAAACAGATTGGCCGCTGGCAGCAAAAGAGCTGGAG